AATCAGCAGCAAAGGCTGACATCTAGTGTCCAAAAATAGATGGTGCAGCATAACTGAAAAAACCAAGTTTAATTTAAATGTTTTCTTTAAAAATAGATTAAATTAGTCCAATCAACACTGTGAGACAACTGAGGTATTTCTGTTTTTTTCCCTAAGAAATGAGTGGAAATTAGACGTCACTCAAAGTATACACAATGAAAACAGTCCACATGTCAAAAAAATCACAATTTGATTGTAAGAAAAATAACCTTTACAACAAAACTATAAAGTAGAATGCCTTTTAGGTTATTTTCACTTTCAAATCAAACAGGAAAACATTATAACAAAACGAAAGTTAACTATAGTAATATATCTCTCGAGGCTTTTTTTTTTTTTAAATAATTGGAATTGTAGCTTACAGCTACAATGGATTAATATTACAGACCGAAAATGGGAAAATAATGTGATTCAGTACAGAAATGTCATGTAGGCAGTGGTCCAGCACCATTGTAAGCGACAAAATGTCATTTCCCAAGAATGTGACATGTTAAGTAGACATTTTTCATAAACTAAGCCCAAAAACCTACAACTATTATTCCCACAAGAGGCATATTTCTTGGGTTGCCAACTCTGTTTCTCAGTATGGGGCAGTTACTTTTTTAAGAGACAGTTGGCACCTACCCATTTCCCCCAAATATTGTTCATAAATCTCTGTCTCACTAGTGTGGCATATAAAGACTGATTAAAGGACATTGTTGAACAGGCGTTCCACAAAAATAGTCTTTCTAAAATACAGAAAAAATATTCAGAGTTTTGAAGAGGGGGTGTAATTTGCATGCTGACTGCAGGGATGTCCAAAAGAGCTATTGCTGCTAATGCATTAATTGCTTTGTATTCACTATGAGTCATCTTCAGAGGCATTTTAGAGAATTTGGCAAAGGATACCTCAATGGCCTCACACTCGTAGACCTCACTAGTTGAGGACCTCCACATCCAACATCTTTGAAGATGAAGGACCTCCACATCCAACATCTTCAAATTCAATGATGTCTTAGACCAGCTATCCAGACAGCTGCTACAGCAAGTTAGAATAAGGAAAGAAAAAACTAGCTGTGATAAAAACACAGTAGAGAACCTTATCTTGACACTCGTCTTTGTCGGGTTCTTACCGAGTGCAGTTTGCCGTCATTACCAATTTAAATGGACTTTGAAGAGGTGCTATGAATCCTGGTTGTTGCTGTGCAGAACAGAGGGAAGGCAGCATGTGGGGAGGGGTTTGCTGCTGTGTATTTTGAGTTGCCCATGGTTGTGGTTCATAGTGTTAGCAGCCGTATGTACTACAAAGACAGGAGCAATTTATTGATGGGGTTTTGAATGCACAAAAACTGAGTTGAGGTCTTTAAGGGCATTAAAGAAGTGGAGAAATATTCCACAGGCTACACTCAGTATCCTGATCCACTTCATGTGAAGGTGCCTTTTTTTGCACTGCATGAGGCAAATGATAACGACACCCGATAACTGTTTTTAGAGCCAATTAAAAACATCTGAGCAGTAATCAATGTTATGCTAATTAGCATTTTGATGTCCAACACCTGTGAGGTGGATGAATTACCTAAAAAAGAATGGATCACTGACATAAATTTAAAAGGACTTGAGAGCAATATTTGAGACAAATAGGTCTTTTAAGTACAAAGAAGGTGTTTTTTAAATTGTGGGTTCAGTTCAGAAAAAAAGGAGTAGCAACGAAATGTAATGTGTTGCTCCTTTTTTTTTTTGTTTCATGTATTAATGAAAATTTGAATGAAAGGCTATTGGGGAAAAAACCCCAAATGTTCACATGAAAAGAGGGGGAAACACAATCTTGACATGATTTTCAGGTAAAGGTAGTTTGGATGAGATTCAAACGGAGTGGACTCTGGTTGGAGAAGGGTCTTTGAGAAACACCAAACAGAAATAGTTCTAGGTAAAGAGCCATAACTGTTTTCTCAGTTAAGCCACTCCTGATGTGGAGTTGATATCAGATATGTCTTATCTGGGCAAAGGAGAACATGGAGATACTGTTGTTTCCTATTATATAATAAAAAAAATTTTTTGTTTAGTAGCGGAAAAGTGTGAAGACACACCAGAGAGCCACAGAATCCAGATAGTTTGAAATCTGATATAGTTTCTACAATCAGAGATGAAGCCATGCCATATAATCATGGGCCATAAATAAATAAATAAAAATCTGAAAAACTTATATCACACAACCAAAATGCCCACAGATGCCTACCAACCATTCAATCTGACTCAAAAATGTGTTTTAGAAAATAATTTAATATTGGAGGTGCATACTTACCTACCTACATTTTAACATCTGTTTTGTTTTTTTAGTATAACTAAACAGCAAAAACATTTGAAATTAATAATACGTGTAAATTGTGTGTGTGTATATGTATATATATATATATATATATATATGTTGGCCTAATTCATTTATAATCACAGCGAGCTGAGATTTTCTAAGGGGTGTGCAGCCACTGCACAAGTTTAACCTCTCAAATGAATTTATGTAAAAAAAAAAATTAAAAAAAAACTTGAAGTTAAAACAGTCTTAAAACAAAGATATAATTGATCTGTGTTTTCCTACTTACACGGAAACTGCTTTTCAAGGCAGCCTGCCAACACAAAAACATTAGTTTATTTAATAGAAAATCAGAAAATGTGAAGCAATTGTTCAATATTTATACTTTAATGATTAGAAATGAATAAACATGTTTAACACATTATACTGTTAGACAGACGAAGAAACCATTTTATATCATGTAGCAATGCTGGGATTTATAATAAGGATAAAAAAAAGACTCTGCTCTTTTAAATTAGTTTTTACCAAGAATAAATAAACCTGTGACAGAAACTGAGCTCGTTCTCATGACTGCTGCAGTAATGCAATGACCATTGAGATAAAAAAAAAACTGTTTTTAAAAAGTTGGTTTGGTTACACTTAAGAATAACCATCATAACAACTATCTATAAATAATAAAGAGACAATTTGTCATTAACAGATTAGTTATAAGGTATAAACTGCACCTTAATCATTTATAAATGTAAATAGCTCATATTGCCCTGCATTATTACCCTAACATCAGTGGCTTAAGACCTGAATCTAGCCTTTATTTTTACTTTCATTTGCCCTGTCATGTTAGACTTAACCCTTACCCCAGCATCAGTGGGCTAAATACATTAAGAAATGATCGTTTTACCTTGCATAAATGATTTAGATGTAGTTAATAAATGAATATCAAACATTAATAAACCATCTGTTAATCATTTATAAATGGTTTCTTATGATATATAAATGATGGTTAAGTGTAACCGCCTTTTTAAGGACTAACTTTGCATTCTTTTTTCTGAGAACAAATTTAATTTTTTTGTTTTTTTTCTCCAACATTTTGAACAAAAAGGATTTTTCTAATAATGATTTCATGTCAGAAGGCATCAAACCTGGGCCTAAATGAACAGGTTTCACTCAAACACCACCCTTTGATGGAGATAAGCACCAATTAGTCAAAGCTGTAGTGGATCTGTAGGCCCCTCTTAATCGTGGAGTTACTTTGATATAGCTTTCAGTCAGGGTTTTTTAAAACACTGACGACCTGTTTATGTGGTAATAAAGCATGAGTCAGATTTGGTACAAGACTTTGATTAGGTCATCCCCAAAATCCTTACTTTGCTATTTTGAGGCATTCTGATTTGGATCTCATGGTGCATCATGGGTGATTGCCCTCCTACATGAATACACTCTTCCTCTTTTAAGGGGCAGAGTTCATAGATCCATCATGTGCAGGTTTATTGATGATAAAGCACCTGACAAAAGTTTTCAGAATATTTTCCCAAAACTCTAAGGAATTATCAAAATAATTTTTTCATACAAATGAGACGATTGTTTCTGTTCTTTTTGTCAACATCAGTTTTGGTCCCGGGATTCTCCCAATGATCATTCTCTAGTGACATGTTTCCTATGTTCTTTAATCCAACCCGTCTTGTCTCTTGTATGAATTGTGTGAAATAAATGAAAATGCATTTTTTTTCTTTTTTAAGTGCTTAATCAACTACATCCTCAGATATTCTCTTTAGTTATTTTTGTGACGTCCAAGAATCATATCCAAACAAAAAATGTTATTCCATACTGTTTATTTTTGGATAAAGAGCCAGATGAGAAGAAGCATAGGTCTTTGAATATTTCTCTCATTGTTCTCTTTTCTATCTATTTAAATATAATGTAAAAGTTTCCTTGAATTGTCATTGAAACATTTCTTATGTTTCCTTCGAATATTTCAACATTTTAGTTAGCATATTCATTCACTATAGGTCTTTACTGCCATGGTGTTACAAGGCAATTATGTAGGGTCTCTCTGTATTTTTTTTTATATCAAGACCCTTTGAATTTAAATCTAGTTTGACCCCTGAGCAGCGGTAACTAAGGGGCAAATTCTCAGAAATAAAGCCAAAATCGCCAAAGTAGAAAGAAAAATGCTTTTGTTCTTTGCTTTTTTGAGCAACAAAGATTTTATTGATCTGTCTGATGAATAATTCAAAGTAGATTAGGAGGTGTTTGTTTTATGTCTAAAACCTTTCCTTAATTGCACATTTTGTTAGCTTGTCTGTCTGCTTTATTAACCAATATGATGTGTTGAACTCGATCTGCTATTTTCACAATTTTTGTGAGACACTTTTTTTTATAAAGTAGGGCATTAATTCATAAAAAAGTTTATATGAATTCTATAAATCAAAGTTTTCTGCCCAACAGCAATGATGAACTGCACGGCAGTATTCTATACCCAGCAGTCGGAAGAGATGTCAGTCTGGTAAAGAATCTGGCTGTTATTCGAAATTGTAAAGTTTAGGTTTTTTTTTTTGCAACATAAAGCTGACTAGAACCTTTTTAAGTTTTAGTCAACTAAAACTGATTTAAACTATCACATATCGTAATGACTGAAATGTAAAAAAACGTATAATAGTTTTTATCCTGAAGACTAAATCTAAGATGGCTGTCAAAAAAACACTGATACTTTTTTTTAAAAGAAGTGCATTTTTCTTGAATTGAACAGGTGAGACACAAATCAATCAATTGCAAATCAATTGCAGTCTCTGATTTTAAGGGTATAATATCTTATTATCTTTTTTAAGGGAAACAATGCACATTGCATTGGCATATCGTCTTATTTTCCTCCTCAAATTAAGGGTAAATACACTTATTTTAAGAAATGTTCACTAATTTTAAAAATGTATGTATATAGGAGGGTGATATGTTGCTTTTTGAAATCCTTAAGCCTACTTAATTTTAGCAGAGGGCAGAATTAACAGATTGTTTAGATTGTAGAGTACTGGCAGTAATAGAATAGAAATACCTTGTATTGCCCAATGGAAAGGAAGTGTAGACATGTGGAAAAGCAAACCAACCAAAACCAAAGTTGTTCTGGACTGACTCACCGTCTCACCGACTCAGCACCGTGTGGGGTAGGAGGAGTTACGTGACCAACCGGGACCAAAAAGCAGAGATCATCTGTCCGGTCAGTTAACTGAGTTCACTATAAAGTCCACTATATAGTCCCTGCTCTATATAATAATTGAGGGATTTAGCAGTTAGGGTGGATGTTCGGTCACAGTATGCTTGCGAGCTTATGATGAGCTATGAGAACAGCAACTTTTAAACAGAGTGTGCATGAAGAGAAATGGGCTAGCACTTGTTTAATAGGCGTTCCCTCTCAGTAGCGGGTACAGGGTTCTCTATGTAGATTTTTCTTTTAAGTGGATAGGGCGGCTCTTCTAAAAAATTTGCAAAAAAAACCTCCACAATACCTTTAAGTGCCAATTTTTTTTATGAACTTTTTAAATGTATTACAGTCGACATAATAACTAAACAAAATAACTAAACGTTCACATGGATGTATAACTTACAGCTGGCCCATCAAACAGCATGATACTTACAGCAGTGTCTCTCATCCTACAGTAAGCCTTGCACAACTTTAGCAAATGAGCCTTGTAGGAATGAGACAAACTATTCAAATTTAGATATGCAGTCATCTGATGCAGCACACAAACTGTAACATAGGCCTTAAAGCCTCCTAATCTATGACACACACCCACATTTTTCTTATTCCTTTAAATTTCCACAGTCAAACATCAAGATGGATCCTCTGGTGGCGTTTCAGGTTACATTTCTGGGTGAAGCGTTTGCCACATGCCAAGCAGCAGTAAGGTCTCTCCCCCGTGTGGACGCGCCGGTGGGCTTTGAGGTTGCTCAGCTTAGTAAAAGTGTGGCCACAGAGAGGACAACGGAAAGGCCGCTCGCCTGTGTGAATCTGCATGTGGGCTTTCAACCTGCTGGGATGAGGAAAGCTTTTGTCGCACTCCTCACATTGTAGGAAGGGCCTGAAGGGCTGGGAATCAGAAAGGGAGGCAGCAGAGGGGAGAGACTGATTGTAGGATTTGATGCCAACCAATGAGGCATTGGATCGGTTCAGAGCTAAGGTCTGTTTGTGAACACACTGCACTGACAGTGTGGAGGGAGTGCTTTTAGATGGTGGGGAGCCTCTAGTGGGGTTAATTAAGTGTACAACCTGAGAGTGAGCATCAGAGTGCGCTGTTGTCGTCATGTGGGACAGTTTGTGTGTGGCTTTCTTAAGGGGCCGGTGGAGGTGCTGCATAGATGTCTGTAGCCTGAGTCCTGAACCCTTGTGAGAATGAAGCTTCACTCCCTCCTGCACCAAGGATCTGTGGTAAATATGGTTTGGTTTGTGTGTTTCTGAGTGCACCCTCTGTTCCTGTGACAAACAGGTGAATGGTTCTTTACCAGCCTTTGATGGTGGTTTTTCTGCAGCCCCACTTTCCTTAAACTCATCAGAATCAACCATGACCTCCTCTTTAACTGTCACCCCCAGGGTGTTGCTGGGTTGCAGTCTGGCTTTAGGAGATTTAGAGCAAGATGCTTGATCTTTAACTAAAGTAAACTGAACATCTGCTCTGACTGGGCTGGATAGCTCATGTTCCATATAATTCACAGAGCCTTTATCAAATCCACCTTCTTGGGCCAGCTTGTGATTATGCAGAAGTCCAGCTGCTGTGGCCGACAGGTCAGCCCACCTGGAATGGAGTCCAAAACCTAAAACACTGGTTTTCTCTGCAGCAATGTCCGTTTCCTCGTGGTTGTCAGGAAACACACATACAGTAGACATCTGTGGGTCTCTCTTAACAACATTCCTCAGTAACTCTTCTGTGTTTCCCTGGGTTGGTGTTGGCTGTGCTTCTACCACCTCACCTGGGGTCTCTGATTCAGCTTCACCTGGGAGAATTTAAAAAGAGCCTCATTGTACAACCAAAGATGTGTTAACAGTCAAGGATAAAAACAAACTGCATACTTTTCTTAGATGTATTATATTAAAAATATATTATCATTTATTACTCTCTTAATAAGAACTCACAGCAAAACCCCACCCAGCTTTCGCTTAAAAACCCACAGTCATCTGATTATATAATGCAAAAGAATTGTTTTATGATTTCAATAGTTTTAATTGTTTATAAAAAAAAAACAATGTCATGTTGTAACGATGCTCTACCAGGTCTACTCTTGTTTCCCTTGGTCAACACAATAATTGAGTTATGCACTTTTGTTCATAACACATTTGTTCTGACCTTTACCTGGCTTATATATATATATATATATATATATATATA